TGTTCATTCCTCACTACAAGTGTGACATTTCTTGGATACATCATCACTGCTCAAGGTATCAAGATGGACCCCAGTAAGATTGATGCTATTGTCAATTGGCCTACACCAACATCGATGCATGATGTTCGAAGCTTCCATGGCCTGGCATCTTTTTATCGGAGATTCATCAAGAATTTTAGTTCTATTGTTGCCCCTATTACTGACAGCCTTAAGGGTGACAAATTTTCATGGAGTGACAAAGCCCAATAGAGTTTTGAAGAATTAAAGAGGAAGCTCACTGAAACGTCTGTACTTGCACTTCCCAACTTTGACCTGATGTTTGAAGTATATTGTGATGCTTCTAATGTTGGAATTAGTGCAGTGTTAAGTCAAGAAGGTCAACCCATTGCCTTCTTTAGTGAAAAGTTGAATGACACAAAGCTCAGATATTCCACCTATGACAAAGAATTCTATGCAATTGTTCGAGCCTTGGAGCATTGGAGTCATTATCTTCTTTCCAAAGAATTCATCTTGCACTCTAACCATGAGGCATTGAAGCACTTGAATTCTCAACAGAAGATCAGTCGCCGACATGCTTCTTGGAGTGAATTTCTACAAGCTTATCCTTTCCTCCTTAAATACAAATCTGGAGTCCAGAATCGTGTAGCTGATGCTCTGAGTTGCCGACATGCCTTGCTTACTTCCTTACAAATGAAAGTCACTAGATTTGAAGTGATCAAGGAGTTGTATGAGGATGATCCTAATTTAAGCAACATTTGGCAAGCCACTTCTAATCAAGCCTTTCAGCAATATCATTGCCAACAAGATTACCTCTTCAAGGGTAACCGACTATGTGTTCCATGTTGCTCACTTTGAGATTCAATTATCTGGGAAGCACATAATGGCGGATTAGCTGGTCATTTTGGGAGAGATAAGACTTTAGCTCTTGTTAAAGAAAGTTTTTACTGGCCAAAGTTGGAGCAGAATGTCATTCATCACATTCAAAGATGCAAAGTTTGTCACCAAGCCAAGACAATCAATCAAAACACAGGGTTGTATCAGCCATTGCCTATCCCAACTTCACCTTGGGAAGATGTTAGTATGGATTTTGTCCTTGGTCTACCACGAACTCAACGAACCAAGGATTCTATCATGGTCGTGGTTGACAAATTTTCTAAAATGGCTCACTTTATTGCTTGTCAGAAAACTAATGATGCTTCTCTCATTGCTGAGTTATATTTTAGAGAGATTGTGCGTCTACATGGAGTTCCAAAGACCATCACTTCAGATAGAGATGTGAAGTTCATGAGTCATTTTTGGAGGACTTTATGGAGAAAGATGGGCACTCAACTCCAGTTTAGTTCTGCTAGCCATCCCCAAACCAATGGGCAGACTGAAGCTATCAATAAGATTTTGGGGAATCTACTACAAAGTTTTGTGGGAAAAAATTTGCGACAATGGGATCTTGTGCTTGCCCAAGCTGAGTTTGCCTACAACAACTCTTCGAATAAAGCTACGGGCAAAATGCCCATTTGAAGTAATATATGGAGTGCGTCCTCTCAGTCCTTTAGATCTTCCTCCATTGCCCACATCCCGACAATTTAGTGCAGATGCTGAACAATGATCCAAGGAGATCAAGAAACTTCATGAAGAAGTTCGTGAGAAGCTACAACGTCAAACCATTAGGTATAAGGCTCATCATGACAAGCATTGAAAGAAGGTTGTGTATAAAGAAGGAGATTAGGTTTGGATACACCTTCGAAAGTAAAGGTTTCCTAATCGACCTAATGTCAAACTCTCCCCTAAAGCAGATGGTCCTTTTCAGATAGTGGAGAAAATCAATGATAATGCCTACAAGATCAAACTTTTAGGTGACTATGGAGTCTCTGCTATTTTCAATGTAGCTGACCTATCTCCTTATTATGAGGATCATGAGCATTGAACTCAAACTTGAGGACGAGTTTTCTCCAACCAGGGGAGAATGCACAGGAGGAAAGCACCACGAAAGCACCACGACAATGCACCAAGATTGCAAGTTAGCAAACTTTTAACTACACTCTGCAGACTACAAATAGGTCGGTACAATTTTGTCAAAAGTGGCCACTAAATTCCACAAAGATGGCTAACTCCCAACTGCATTTTCACTTTTCATTTATTGCCTTATGTTAGATTTTGCCTATAAATAGCTATGTTCCCTTCGTTGTATGGAGAAGTTTTTAATCCAAAAATTTTAGTTCATAATTCTCCTTTGTTTGAGTGAGTTTCTAAAGAGTGGATTTTCTCAATTTATCTCTGTATCTTAGGTCTTGCCAACCTAAGTGGTGAACCTGGCAATTGAATTCATTGTAGTGGAATTTTAAATCTCACCAAAATCGATGTTTTGGTATCGGCTCCTACGCCATTATCTGTTCCTGCAATATGTTAAAATATACTTAACAATACCTGTTTTCCCATCTCCTGAATCTTTTATCTCTAAAGAAGCTGAAGACAACCCTGAAAAAATAATTACAAGATGAAAGCTGCTTTAGTCAAGCATATGTATAGCAAAAACTTTCATGAAACTGATAATAAATATTAGGTTAAAATCCTTTTTTGGTCCCTGAACTATTGTACAGACCCCCGATTTGGTCCCTGAACTAAAAAAATCCCTGATTTGGTCCCTACTGTTTACCATTTTTACCCCGATTTGGTCCATAAACTAAAAAAATCCCTGATTTGGTCCCTACTGTTTACCATTTTTACCCCGATTTGGTCCTTCCGTTAAAAATTGTGTGACGTGGCCCGTTACCTCACAGTTACCAGATGACAAGTCATATAGTAATCCACGTGGAAGATAATATACCCTACTGTTTATCATTTTTACCCCGATTTGGTCATTCCGTTAAAAATTGTGTGACGTGGCCCGTTACCTCACAGTTACCAGATGACAAGTCATATAGTAATCCACGTGGAAGATAATATAGTAAAAAAAATGATGATGTGGAAAAAATAATAATATAAAAAAATATTATAAAAAATAAAACTTAAAAAAATTTTTTTTTTTATCTTTTTATCTTTTCTTTCTCCTCCTTTTCCTTTCTCTTTCTCCTTCCCCTTTCCCTTCTCTTTCCCCTCGAAACCCAGCAGGCCTGGGTTCCTTGCGAACCCACCCAGGCGCTAGGTTCCTTACGAACCCAGGCGCTGGGTTCGCAAGGACGCTTGCTTGGGTTCGCGTTCCTTGCGAACCCAGCGCCTGGGTTCGCAAGGAACCAAAGCGTGCTAGGTTCGCAAGGACGCTTGCTTGGGTTCGCGTTCCTTGCGAACTGCGAACCCAGCACCTGGGTTCGTGTTCCTTGCGAACCCAGCACCTGGGTTCGCGTTCCTTGCGAACCCAGCACCTGGGTTCGCGTTCCTTGCGAACCCAGTGCCTGGGTTCGCAAGGAACCCAAGCGTGCTGGGTTCGCAAGGACGCTTGCCTGGGCTCGCATCGAACCCAGCATGCCTGGGTTTGGTGGAACCCAACACGCTTGGGTTTGGTTCCTTGCGAACCCAACGCCTGGGTTCGCAAGGAACCCAAGTGTGCTGGGTTCACAAGGAACCCAAGCGTGTTGGGTTCCTACAAACCCAGCACACCTGGGTTCCTTGCGAACCCAGGTGCAAAAAATTAAAAAAATTGGTTGATTGTGATGAAGTTGTTTTTTGGATATTGTTATTTGATTGTGATGAAAAATTGGTTGATGAAGACGAGGAAGGCAAGGTAAGGCAGTTGCTGGGTTCCTGTGTAGGTGTTGGGTTCGATTTCGAACCTACCAGCCGCTAGGTTTTTGCAGGTGCTGGGTTCGAAATCGAACCCAGCAGGCGGTGGGTTTCATTTCAAACCCAGCGGGTGCTAGGTTTGAGCAGCTGCTGGGTTCTTGCAAGTGAGGCTCTGGGTTTCGTTTCGAACCCAGTAGCAGTTGGGTCAAGTATCTATTGAGTTTAATCTGTTGATTTGTTGTGTTATTCTCGAATTTAATATTAAGAGTTAGGGTTTGTAGAAGGTTAAAGGAAAGGGAGAGGAAGAAGAAAGGGAAAAAGGAAAAACAAACGAAGAAAAAAAAAAAGGAATAAGAAATTTTTTAAGATTTTTTTCTTGCCATCTCATTTTTTTTGGCAATCTGTACATCCTAGGTGTCAAAATGCTTGTACATGTCATCGTTTTCCCGTCAAGTAACGAGACACGTAGGTTGATATTTGACGGAAGGACCAAATCGGGATAAAAATGGTAAACAATAGGGACCAAATTAGGGATTTTTTTAGTTCAGGGACCAAATCAGGGATCCGTACAATAGTTTAGGGACCAAAAAGGGGTTTTAACCTAAATATTAAAAGGTTTAAAGTTTCTTTGGGTTTGTTGAAGACGTGCATACTTCTAAAAACAAACACATAATGAGAATAAACAGGATCAGAATGCAACTCAACATCAGATTCATATGCAAGCAGCATTTGAATTGTACAATCTGCTAAACAGCTTTTCTTTCTTTAGTTGGGAGTAAACAAAATTGAACTTACCTCCATCTTCAGGATCTGAATATAGATGCCACTTCTTCAGCTCTTCTTTTGAACCAAAATAGAACGTGTATCTCTTGGCGTCAGATTGTCAACATTCCATATGAGAGCTAAAGTAGTCAAATTTAACAAAATTTATGTTAAAAGAGAGAATCTTGCTTACAATTATTTTCATTATAATGCATATCCACCAATTATGTTACTTAACACACACACAGAGTGCTCATTTGCTAATCATCAAACAAAAAAGGCTAGAAATTTCAGTATCAAAGATACTTCAAACAAGGAACCATCTATAGAAACAAGGTTCTAATAATTAAAAAAAATGAACCTACCATATATATTATTGAATTCTAGATTTGTATAACGTCCTAATAACCCTGAAAGGTTTAGTACTTTGAATTCACATAATGCCACCTAAATCATGTTTTTCAATATACAACATGCCAATAAACAAACCCAAAAAAACAATTCTTTGCATTGATTAAACTAGTGATCAAAATAGTCGAGTTTACCATGAAATGCTTACCTTTCTTGGTTGCAGTTAAAAATGTTCGAGACAATGCGCGAAACCTTGTCTGAGAGATGAAAAGGAAAAACCCTAGTTTATGATACCCAGAAATCAGCTCTTCAAGTAATCAACCCTTATGTGAGAGATGAAATGAGTATCCTAGGTGACAAAATAAGTTAGGTATCACATTAAGATCATAGAAATGTAGTTTGGACTTTGAATTCTGACAAATGAAGTGAAGCCGTGAAGAAGGGGAGAGACTAAATAATGGTCAGTTAGTTTAGCCCCTCCGGTCACCGTCACCGTCAACGTAGTTTCAGAAGGCGGCCAATAGTAGCGTCAGTCACCGCTCACCGTCACGCGTTTTGGAGGAGCATCGTTTCTCACCATAGCCTGCAACTTCATTTACCACTTTGAGCTTTCTTTGAGCCCAAAAAGATACTGTTTAGCGTGTACCACCAACCCAACCCAAATATGTATTTAAGGATTTACGGCCCAACTACTAACTTAGGAGCCAACGGAAACGAACTCCTAAGTCCAAACGGGCCGAAGGAAGCGAACTTCAATAAATTTTTTTTTTTGCCGCAGTGAGTTCAAAACTTCAAATATAAATCACCATTTAATCACTTAAGTTGTTGATTAGTAACGATTTTTTTTAATTAGTAATGAATTTATAATATCTACTTTTAGCTTTTTCAACTTTTAGAGAAATTTTAATCCAACGAATGATTTAACAGTTAAGAACTTGATACTTCAAATTGAAGATCTCAAATTTTAGTTTTCAATTTACTGGAAAGGGATTTGAGAATATAAAAAGCTATTTTTTTTTTGTATAATCCAAAATAAAATGTACAAAAAGAAAAAAAAAACTTTAAACATTAAGAAAGATAAGTAACCAAACTTAAATTGTTATGTAATTGTAAATGGAGTACAAGGATATTTTTGGTGTAAACAAGCATGAAACATGAAAAATTGAAAACAACAATAGAAACATGAAATCAACTAATTTTTTTTATGTATAATGCCGTCATGACATTAAGACAATCAATTTTTTTTATTAATTTATTGTAATCAAGAGAAGCAAACTCAAATTAATATTTTTGGTATATCAAATAAAGTTTGAATCAATTTCAACTTGAACTGTTCATTAAGGACCGTTGTTTTCACAAGCTCACCTCATCGCACTCAAGCTTTCAAGCAAAGTCTCTTACCTGTTCTTTTCTGTGGAAGTGAAATCAAGATCCCGTTTGGTATAGCAGTTTTGAGGTAGCGGTTAGCGGTTAGCGGTTTTACCTAAACCGCTAAATATAGGTGTTTAGTAAATTTACATATTTCGAAACCGTTACAATTAAAGTGTTTGGTAAAATTTTTATTTAGCGGTTTGAAACTAACGGATAGCGGTTAGGGTCCAAATCGCTAGCGGATTGAAAAAGCTAGTTTATGTAGCTTTTTGTACCAAACCGCTAGTGGATTAGAATTTTTTAATTTTATTGACAAATTTATCCATTTTAATTTTTTAATTTGTGGTCACATTTTTAAATTAATAATTATATAATAAATTTCAGTTTTGTTTTTTT